AGATAGATAGATAGATAGATAGATGATAGATGATAGATGGATAGATAGATAGATAGATAGAGAGATAGATAGATAGATAGATAGATAGATAGATAGATAGATAGATAGATAGATAGACAGACATAATAGATAGATAAATAGATAGATAGATGTAATAGATAGATAAATAGATAGATATAGCTAGATCAGAGAGATTAGATAGATAGATAGATAGATAGATAGATAGATAGATAGATAGATAGAAATGAGAGATAATAGATGAGAGAGAGAGGATGGATAGAAGATAGATAGGTAGGTAGAGATAGATAGATAGATAGATAGATAGATAGATAGATAGATAGATAGATAGACAGATGATAGAAAGATAAGTAGGTAGGTGTTTAAAGAGAGAGACAGAGAGATTTATTGATATAACTATAATACACTGTGCATATCTATATATAGAGACTCCATATTTATATTTCTAGCCAAGACCAAGCCTTAAGAACAAGTGCACACCAAGTCAGAATTGAGAAGACAGCAACAGACCGCAAATGTCGTCTCCCCAAAGGTGCACGACAAAGTATCAACAACAATGGTGCATTGTAATCTGCAAGAAACACCTTTTGTCTGCTAGTGAGAGCTGGTGGGACCATAAAATGGGGAAAGTCATAGAAAATGAAGACCCTAAATCTCTCTGAGAATTCAGACAGAAGGCACCTGCCACATAACATCCTGGACTTAACAATTAAGAAAGACCAAATTTTTTAAAAAGAGCCTGGATAGTAGACAATGGCCGAATCTGAAGACAGCAGAAGAGAAGAGAAAAATGTTTAAAAACACCTCCACCAAATGTTGGAAATGTAATCAGACCCCAGGCAGGTATTACCACATAGGATGGATCGGTGGCAAAAGCCAAAAAAAAAAAAAAATGGACAAAAATACACACACGGTTAGAAAAAAAAATGTTAAAGCAGCATATAGATCAGTGATGGCCAACCTTTTTGCTGTGGTGCCAACACCCATAATGCATTGTGGCCTGCCCCCCCCCCCGTGCATGCACATGCAACATCCCCGCCCCACCTCCTTACCTGCATTGCGCATGTGCGCACCTCCCACCTGATTTTCAGCCCGGGAGACGCCGTTTTCGGCCTCCCGGAGTCTCAAGGGAAGCCTCTGCAGCCTCGGGAGGCCGAAAAACAGGCCTTCCAGAAATACCGGAAGTGCCCTTTTTTCAGCCTCTGGAGGGCCTCTAGAGCCCAGGGGAGGCCATTTTGATGGAAGCCTCGGGAGGCTGAAAACGGGCCCGTTTTGGCACTTCTGGTATTTCCAGAAGGCCGGTTTTTCAGCCTCCCGAGGCTCCCGAGGCTTCCTTCAAGCCTCCAGGAGGCCGAAAATCAGCTGGGATGCATGCGCATGCGCAGTGCAGATAAGTTTAGCTGGGGCTCACACAAATGACTCTGCGTGCCACCTGGTTCACCATCAGGGATATAGATTATAAGCCAGAAATATTTTTGTTAGGTATGGTACCAGAAAAGTATGATAAAGGGAATATGTATATATATTTAACATGGCATTATTTTGATGGCAGTGAGAATTGTATTTGCACAGCACTGGAAAAATGAAGAAACACCTCACGGAAGAAAACATGACATTGCAGAAACGGACAGATTGACATTAAAAAGAAAAGAAAAAAAAAGACACAGAATATTTTCAAGCATGGGATTAGTTTTACAGGTGGTTGGACAATAGAGGTAGAAATTAGGAACTTGAAAAGGATTATTATGCAAGCAAATTGATCCAGACAGTACACTGTTCATAAAGCACTTTATGTACCACGTTTCCCCCAAAAATAAGACCCTGTGTTTTCTGTATTCTGCACAGTGGTGGATTTGTACGCTGTGCAGATGCAGAGAGATAAACTCAACAAGATGTCCATAACAAAGTACTGTACATTTATTAGTTCATCAGGTATCCTCATAACTCACATTTGTGTTGAAGTTCTTCTTTAATGACCAATCCTTTGCATATCTGCCTTGTAGGTAAAAGATGGTTATCTCCTAACCCATCTCGTAGTGATAGAAAGCAGCTGCCATGAGTTAGAGAATCCAGGCAAAAGTGAGGAAAACTCCCCCAACCCATCGAGGGTCAAATTAGTGACCAATCAGGATTACAGATGTGGCCACGTGACATGAACTACATTTCCCAGGATGCCTTTAACTACATTTACCATGATGCATTCCCTTAAGGGGACAGCTCATAATTCCTAAGTAACTATCCAATTCCCATAGACTGGCTGGGAGAGCACACTGTGTTATACTTTTTTTGTCACCCAAAAAAAAGGCACCAGGTCTTATTTTTGGGGGACGTCCTCCACTGACTAATCTCACTTGTGCGCATCGCCCCCGGCCTCCTTTTCACGATCAGAGACCTTCAGGAACTTCTTCCTCTGCAGCCAGCAAGGCTTTCCTGAAGGCCTCTGCAGGCGATAATGGAGCTTTGGATCGATCCAGAGCTTTGTTATCAGCTCCAGAGGCCTTCAGGAAAGCCTTCCCAGCCTTGCCAGCCTTGCCAGCTGCAGAAGAAATGGGCTGGCAAGGCAGGTGTCAAGGTGCGCGACGCCCGGCTACAACTGTTGAAAGGTAAGCAGTAGGGCAGCTCCACCCCGCCTATCCCCACCCTAGCTTAATTTTCACCCGTCCACTCTGGAATGGGTGGGGTCTCAATTAGGGCTTATTTTGGGGGGTAGGGCTTATATTGGGTGCACATGTAAAAATCAAGCTAGGACTTATTTTCAGGGTAGGTCGTATTTTTGGGGAAACGGTAAAGAGAAAATGTATAAATAAACTGTTTAAAAAAGAAAGAAAGACAAAAAAAAATGATCTGGATAGTGGACAATGGCAGAACCCGAAGACAGCAGAAGAGAAAAGAAAGAACCAGAGAACATTACAAAGTGCAAAGACCCGCAAACAGAAATAGAGTGACTGTGGCAAAAAGGAAACGAAGGCATCACCCATCGTGAGAAGGGCCTTGGTTGCAATCCCAAAACACCTGGAGAATCCCTTGAACCCCATTCGACAGTGACAAATTTGCCACTGGTCAATTGCAAATGGCAGCTTTACTTGGAATAGAATAGAATAGAATTCTTTTATTGGCCAAGTGTGATTGGACACACAAGGGATGCAAAGACATCCAGCCTCTGCCTATCCCACGTCCTGGGAAGGACTCGATAGGTGGACAACAATGGCAAATCCAGTCTGAACATCTGGCTGACCGTGTGACCAACAACAACAACAACAACAATAATAATAACAATAACAATAACAACCACCACCACCTAGATCGCCATAACCAAGTTGCTAAAATCATTCACTGGAAACTGTGCCAAAAGTTTAGATTTGAGTAGAGTAGCAACTACTGGGAACATCAGATTGAGAAGGTTCTGGAGAATGAAAAAGTCAAGATCTTGTGGGACTTCAGAATTCAGACTGACAGGCACTTGGCCCACAACACACCTGACATAACAGTAGTTGAAGAGAAAAAGGGTTGGTTCATTGACATTGCAATACCTGGTGAGGCACGAATTGAAGACACGCAGCAAGATTAAATCACAGGGTATCGGGACTTACAAATTGAAGTTGAGCGACTTTGTAAAAAGAAACTGTGTGATGTTATCCCAATTGTGATTGGAGCCCTTGGAGCCATACCTAAAGGGCTGCCTCGCTATTTGGAAATCCTGAATTTATCAGACTTGAATGCCCTGATTCTACAAAAAAACACACCCTACTTGGAACGGCTTATATCCTCCGACGCTACCTGAACAGTTCCTAGGTCCTTGGTTAGGACTCGAGCTGTTGAGTTACCAACCAGCCCCAAAGGCTGTGAATCTCACTAAAGATTTAATAATAATAATAATAATAATAATAATGATGATGATGATTTCTGACTGCCCCCTCTTAACAGTTGAAAACCAAAAACTTTCCCTGTTGCTGACTCTTATTCAAGGTTTAATTCCAACTTGGCCACCTGCCCTCGATTAAATTCTGGGGTCTCTCTCTCTCTCTGCAACAGTGATGATGGGACGGAATGTGCCTGATTTTGAACAGAAGAACCAAAAAAAAAGAGGGGGGATTTGGAAGGGACTTTTGAGGTCATCTAGTCTAATCCCCTGTTCAAGCCCTATACCATTCCAGACAAGTGGCTGCCCAGTCTCTTCTTAAAAACCTCCGGTTCCAGGTACAGGAATCCTCAACTTATGACCATTTCTTCAGTGACTATTCAAAGTTACAGTGGCCCCGGAAAAAAAGTGATCTATGGCTTGTCCTCGCACTTACAACCACCTCAACATTGCCCATGATCAGGTGATCAAAATGTAGGCTTTGGGATAAGCCACCATGTATTTACCATGGTTGCAACATCCTGGGCTTACCTGACCCCCTTTTGGGACCTTTCTGGACAATGAAGCCAGTGGGGAAGCCAGATTTGCCCCCTGGTTCACTTAACAAGCCCCTGGTTCACTTAACAAGCCCCTGG